AGCAGGAAATTATGTTCTTCTACTGAGGGCTTCATGGATCGGTAGCCCAGGGACAGGGGGAATCTTGGGCCAGGCAGAAATCCAAAGGCTAGTTCCAAACCTATGAAAACTAACTCCAAAAACGAGCCCATTATCAATGTGTTTGAATTCCCTGTACAGGTGTGGCTCCTTGTCTGGAAAATGATTAGTGAGATACAAATCTGACTGCTAAAAATAGCTGTGCTTAACCAACAGCTAGATTGGACTAGATTGGACTAGATTGGACTAGATGATCTTTGAGGTCCCTTCCAATCCCCAACATTCTGTGATTCTGTGATTCTGTAACAGCCTTTGTTTTCTCCAGGTACTTCTTGCAACCGTTTGATAATGAAAGAAAGAAATATATTACACCAGTTCAGATGAGTGATCAAGCCAGATAAGCACGCTGGCTCTGACAGTGGCCATGGGAGATGCTATTCGAGGAGAGCACATGGCCATCTTCTGCTGTCTGTTCCCAGCATCCACAGTTGTTACACTCCAAGCTTTATTTCCCCACCTCATCCTCTCCTGTTGCTCTTGTTCTCAATACATGTCCTGCCCACTTTGAGAATCAACGTGATGAATCGCCCCAGTTCCATTTTTAAACCATTTATTCTTCTACTCTAAATTGTGTTAAGGAAACTGAAGGATTTTCCCCCTCAACTTTTAGAAGTCACATTTTATCGCAATAAAATCCAACATTTCTATTTACAGAGTATCCTCCTAAGCACCAGATGTTTTAAGCACCTTACAGTTCCAGGCTGAAACCCTTCTTAGTTTAAACATAGTAAATAACTTGCCTATAAACTCAAATACTCCCCTTTTAAATATCAGCAGCTGCTAGGACCAGCATATGTTGGTTTTATTACGGATTATTCAAATAGCAAGAATTGTAGAGTTTAAAAGTAAAAGCTCCAAATTAATCTTTAAATGCTTTAACCAAATATCAAGGCTTTTTTTGCAAAAGTCTTAAGTAAAATCTTTATCTGTGCTCAGAAGCTCATGCAAATGTATTCAAAATGTACTCTCTGGATCTCTTACCATGGCAGATTGGAAGCTGCTAAAACAAATACAAGATCATCAGATCGGGCCAAGCCATCCATCTGCACCAGTAATTCTGTTTTCATCCGCCGACTTCCTTCATGCTCACCACTACCAAGATTCAGAGAAATATTATTTGCTCAGTGAATTAAAGTAATCATCTTTATTTATACAGCGTCATTCACAGCAACTGAGCCCTTGTGACAGTTTTGCCCCAGTTCAAAGCATGATTAAGCTCCATTAGCTAACATCTAAGAATTAAAACAAAGCTTTCTAATGATTACTTAAATGGATTCTTTTCGGTGCATTAAAGTGACAAGAACTCACTGTTCCAATGAAAATACTTAGTTTTATTTTTTTTCTTCGTATTAATCTCCATGCAATGCTGACATTTAACGGAAAACAGCTCAGGCTTTGATAAAATTATCTATATAATAGAATTTTTATATGTGGTAGTTGCCATTAAATAACTAACACACCAGTTCATGGCAAGTACCTGGCATTTTTCTGTGAGTGAATGTTAAGTGGCCATGCAAAGATATACTTACTTACTTACTTAGAATTCAGTATTTTGCAAAATGTTCTCTCAAAAGCAAACATAAGACATGCTGTATTGAAACAAATTTAAAAATGGGGCAGACACCACCCAGAAATGATCCTTCTTCAAAAATAGAAAGGGAACTTAAGCAAAGTGCTCAGAATTCTGGCCCTGACCCAGGTAACCAATTTTGCAGGAAATCAGTTTGAACTCTTGGTCCCAGATGTAGAGTTCTTGGTAACTCCTGGACCAAAACCAGGGAAAACATCCTGACCTTAGATGGCAAGAGCTACAATTCAGGTTTAATGGCTTATATCTGCAAAGGCATCCACACATCAATGTCAATATTTAATAAGGATGTGTAAAAATAACTCCATAATCGTAGATTAAAATCCCTTATTAAAATATATAATCCAGTGTTGTTAATGAGAGTTTTTAAAAATATGTATGAAGGCAAAATTTGGCCCATAATTTATAGCTAATAACTGACAATTACTACAGGTTGTATCTTTACAATATGCCATATTCTATTTCTACACCTTTGTGAGCATGTAATTTACAGTACATAAAATCTACTGTAATGGGTTCCTAATGGTTATAATGGTATTTTTATATTTCTCCTGCTTCTTCCTTATCCCTAATCCCTTATCCCTAACCTTTTCAGTCTGTTTTTAACTATAAACTCTCTGCACCACAGATGACAACAGTAACACCCTCTCATTCCTGCATCTGGAAGTCCTGACAGTGCCACTAACATTTTTCCCATTAATTAAAATGCCATCCCACCACGTACACTCCATCTTACCTTGCTATGCCTAAACCTGTCCAAAGTGTCACAAAATCAGCTGCTTCTTACTCGCCTCTGGCAAATCATCTGTTGTTTCCCTCCCACTGCCTTAATTTCCACTTCAAATCCCTGATTTTAAAATACAGCACCACTGGTTGGTTGCTCTTGCACCTCCCTCCTTTTCACAGTCTTGCTGGACCCGTAGCCTCTTGCTAATCTTCACACAACCTGTCTTTCAAGCTTGCCTCTCTACTGATCTCATCTACTGTGACTGAAACAACCACTACATCTCACTCTTTAAATCCCCACAGCGTACACAACGCTGCCATGAAGCAGTACTTTAGGAGCTGACAGGCTTTCTGACAACAACAGGCTGCTAAAGTTCCTAAAGTTGACAACAGAAAAACAACAACAACAACAAAAAACCTTAATAAAAAGTCATTAAAATTACCATTATCACTCAAAGTAATTATAATGTCAATAAAATCTATAAGACAAGTATTTCAGGGGCCCAATCATGCTCTTGTTGGAGTTCATAGAGTAGCTTCAGGCTTTAGTTTAAGCAAGATTTGTTTCTAACAGGTACACTGTATGATTAAACACTGCTCAGCACCTGAACACACACAATATTGAAAAGATGCAGTAAAAGGGGGACAAATATTCTCCTAAAACCATAAGAAGTGGTCACATCAGTTACCCAGAAGCAGTGCCTCTTTGACTCATAACTGACTCCAGCTCATCCAAGAAAATTGTGGAAGGAGCATGGTACCGGGCAAGCTCAAATAACACCTGTTTAGAGAGAAGAGTAAATGTGAAAGAAAAGATAAACTAACACAAAAAGGCATTAAGGGCCACTGGCACAAAAAATAAACAACAGTAGCCACATTCCAAACTTCTAAGACTAAAAGGGGTATCTGCTGGGAAAAAGCTCCGGGTAGGCTGAGGGTTCCTGAATCCTCTCAAATTCAGAAAGGTTTGTAAAGGAGATATAAAGAACACGAGCTTGTAATGCTGTCTTTGTATGTGCATCTTTCTGGCTAAATCCTATCAGAGTGCCTTGAGAATAATGGGATAGGAGAAAATGATCCATCAGAGGATTCTGGGAATTCCTCAGTTGTTATCAGATATTAAACATCCGTCTTTTGTTGTTGCTCCATTTGTAGTTCTTTAAATAAGGATTTGAGAAAAAAATAATAAAAGTGAGCTGAAACATAATGAAAGAAAATGGACTGATTAATTGATAAGAATCAAGCAGTTCTTTTGTTTTTCCTGGTGAAAACAAACAAACTGCTTGAACAATCAAGATTAAAAAATGGAATATTAAGCTGACTCTCAAAAGGGCAGACCCAGATTTTGTGTAAGAAGTTTCATCTCTTTTTCTGTAAACATGGAGCAGTAAGAACATACTGTTGCTTCTTCTTCAGTGAAGAAGAAGGACATGGAGGTGCTGGAGTGTGTCCAGAGAAGGGCAACGGAGCTGGGGAAGGGTCTGGAGCACAAGTGTGCTGAGTTCCCTTGTGGCTGAGGGAACTGGGGGTGTTGAGCCTGGAGAAAAGGAGGCTGAGGGGAGACCTTGTGGCTCTGTGCAAGTCCCTTGGAGGAGGGTGGAGAGAGGTGGGGGTGGGTCTGTTCAACCAAGGCCCAAGGGACAGGACAAGAGGAAATGGGCTCCAGTTGTGGCCAGGGCAGTTGAGATGGGATGTGAGGAAGAATTTCTTTGCTGCAAGGGTTCTGAGGCATTGGAAGGGGTTGCCCAGGGCAGTGGTGGAGTCCCCATCCCTGGAGGGATTTAAAGGACGTGTAGATGTGGTGCTTAGGGACATGCTTTAGTGGTAGACTTGGCAATGCTGGGTTTATGGTTGGACAAGATGATCATGATGGTCTTTTCCAACCAAACTATTCTATGATTCTATGAAGCATTCTCTGAGTTTTTAAATAAACATCACTAGCAATATATATTAATCCAGTACTTTTTAATCTGAACACTTAAAAAAACAAATTAAAAAGAATATAATTAGTTCCTACACCTTTGATACGAAACACAGGTTTTAAATTATTTGCCAGAGTCACAAGTAGTCCATGACCAGCACTGTAATTAGTACTGTTCAAGTAAGCAAAACTTTGCAATTAAGTAGAACATTAGGTTATATAATATTTTTGCCACGAGTGGCTTTTCCAAAGTGGTTGAAATAAAAATTGAATGCTATGATATCAATTCTGCTTATATTCCATCCACTATTGCTGCTCTCATGCAAAAGGCACTGACAGTTGCAGTTTACAATTTTAGTACAAATCTAAAATATAAAATCCCACCAGCAACAGCTGAGAACTGGATCAGTGGCCATTCCTTCAAATAAGCACAAACCCCACATATACTTCACACAACTTCAGAAAACTTCTGTACCACCCTCATGTAATTTTAGGATACAAATTAACACAACACTTTTCTTAGAGCTGTCCCAATCCACAATCTTATTTAATTTCTGAATTCTGCCAAAAACTCAACTATGGGTGAAATGCCACAAATCCAGTATCACTGCAAATGCTGCAGCATGTTGACAAAATCCTTTTTGGATAAACAGTGTCAAAACCCAAACTGTCCCACCCCTACTCGTGCCAGAAGGGAAACTTCTAGGAAGCTACTGAGACAGATGTCAAGAGGATCAATAAGACAGGAGGTGAATGTCAGAAGAAAAATGTGCCATTTTAAAGGACAAAGGACACATGAAGAATAATTACGTTGCAGACATGGCCTGCATTTCCAGAGAGATTAACAATGCTCGTAATGCCATTTGCTGAGTGCAATCTGTTACGCTGACTCATTTTCAAGAGCTCTGTATCTATCCGAAGTGTAGTGTGAGAGCTGAGTGTAAAGGAAAGCTTAGAGCTTGTGGATTTCTCACACCAAAATGGTGGACATTACAGAGTGATTAGGATTGGCACCTTAGGGCAAAGATGCTACAGCTGAATCCCTGAATTTTTTTTGTACCACAGTTGAGCCATGCATGCTACTTGCTAGTCCATGTGCAAAATATACATTTACCCATTTACCACTCAACTATCTTCCTTCAAACATTACATCTGTGCTTGTCTGTAAGATCTTTGTGACAAGGGAATCCTTTGCCAATTCTGTGTCCTGAAGACTAAGAATACTAGGGAATTTTGGAATCTAAATAACATTTTGTAGGGATCCTAGAAGCCAGCCTTTGCAGAAAGGATGTGAAACGATTTGAAGGGGTCACTAAGCAAACACTATTTTAGTTAAGAACTCTGCTTGCCTGTCTTTTATTCTGAGTCAAAAATCTTTGCTGCCTTCAGGACATCTGCTTCATCTTACATTACAGAACTAGAATTCCACAGCGAAAATCCATTGTGAGGCTTCTGCAGAAGCGATGTTATTCCCATTTTAAGAACCAGATAAGAACAGTATCACATGTTTAGTCCAAGACAAAAAGGAAGATTATGAGTATCAGAGGAATACTCACTTTTCAGTGCTCTGTTAAACTCCAGTTCTTTAAGTGGGAACCTGATATCTGTTAAAGGTTAATGAATAAGATAATAATTCTTACCCGGACAAGTTTTTCTGAATCACCCCTCCATTTGCTGACAATGGTGGATGCAGATATGTTGAAAAAGGTTGTATTGCATTCTGTGGCAACAGCCTTAGCAAGCAAAGTTTTCCCAGTACCTACAAACAACAGTGTTGAAGAAATTCACTCTCTAAAGAAATACAATACACATGTTTGAAAATTCCCCTCATCCTACTATGAGTCAAATAAAAACACTAAAATAGAAAAAGTCATAGAATCATGGAACGGTTTGGGTGGGAAGGGACCTTTCAAGGTTGTCTAGTCCAACCCCCCTGCAGTGAGCAGGGACATCTTCAACCAGATCAGGTTGCTCAGAGCCCCGTCCAACCTGACCTGGAATGTCTCCAGGGATGGGGCACCTAAACATGCACAGGAACAAATGGAATTTACTGCAGTGACAGCCTTTGCAACCTGACTCAGGCTGTGGTTGTGCCCTTTGCCCCACTTGTGGCAGTGCTCATGTAGAGGAAGCGGGGAAGGTGTGCTGACATGGAAAACAACCAGCTAGCACAGCAGAGGGCAAAGCTTCCAGCCCATTTCCAAAAGAAACCCCAAATGCAGAAGAAAGGAAGAAAGGAAGAAAGGAAGAAAGGAAGAAAGGAAGAAAGGAAGAAAGGAAGAAAGGAAGAAAGGAAGAAAGGAAGAAAGGAAGAAAGAAAGAAAGAAAGAAAGAAAGAAAGAAAGAAAGAAAAAGAAAAACTGTTCCTTTCCCCCATCAGAAAGGAACAGTTCTTGTTCCTCTGAACAATTACCACAAGTTCTGTCTTTTGGAAGATTCAAGTGTAGAAACAGTCTGGGGTTGTGAGAAAGGCAAATGGGCAGGTTTGAGTGTGAGAGACAGACATAATCATCCACTATTGTCTCCTTTTATTTCACATTTCAGAACATTTGAATTATTTGGCATCAATTATTTATTTGTGGGACAAAAACAGAGATAGTGATAAATGGGTACAGCATAAAGCTTTCCATACCTGGTGGTCCATAGAGCAGTAATCCTTTCCAAGGAGACAGAATGCCTGTAAACAGCTGGGGGTACTGAGGAAACCAAAAAGTAATTCAGGGATTAAAAATATATCAGCTCTGAAAAAAAATGCAAGGGATTTTAAACCCTACGCCCACTGCTCTTAACGCCTTCAGGAAACCTAACAAATTTGAAGAGAGGGAGATAAAAACCCTCCAAAACAAAATAATATATAAGATCTGAGTACTGAGAAAAATACTGTATTTACCATTTGAAATCTGGTTTAAGTGAATTCTACAAGTGCAAGTGGTTTTATAGTCTCTTCTTTAAGTTATTTTCCATTGAATTAATACAGGCCAAATCCAGCACCATACACTGTGAAAGGTGACAAAGAATAGGACCCCAAACTTAGAATTTTAACATCAAAGTGCCATTTTCCTAAAGGAGAATTCATATGCTATTGCCAGATGAAACAGAAACAGTTCTAACATGAACTGCCTACAAGGGCACTGAAATAGTGAGAACTCTAAAACACCACTGTAATGAAAAGGAAAATGCTAACAAGCCAAACACTATTTTCCTCAAAACTATTATCACCTTACCCTTATGGGATAAACAACTGCTTCCTTGACTAGCCTTTTAGCTGCATCCAGTCCAATAATATCATCCCACTTCACATTTGGATTATGGAGATAAATGTCCTGCAACATACATTGCATCTCGTTAGCAAAACTTCTGGAGTAGGAGAACCACCTTTGGCAAAGTAAACGAACTCAGTTAAAGAGCAACAGTACCTTTAAGTGATACAAACTGTATTATTTAACCCTATCACAGAATCAAAGAATGTTGGGGATTGGA